AGCAAGGCAGCTACTTGTTTAAAAAAAACCCAAAAACTTTTAGATTCTCATAGCTGTTGTTCACCCACGTTTTAAATCACTGTCTTTCCCCCCAAATGTTTAAGAGAGAGAGAATGATATCCTCCACAAGGGATTCCCTCCCTCTCTTACACACACACTCATAATTGCCTCTCCCAAACTGCTTCTTCACTTCAGGATTTAGGTATATATTATTTACCCAGTTTGTGGGGCAGGACAGGAGAGAGCAAGGGGGAGATTTGGATGGAAAAACAAGGAATTTGTTCAGCTCCTCTTCCCTGTACTGCTTCTCCATTCAAAATGGCAGTCTCAGCTCTACAAACACATAGAGTACCATATTTTTCTCCCTATAGGACACACTTTTCCCCCTCCAAAAATGAAGGGGAAATGTGGGTGCGTCCTATGGGGCGAATACAAGCTTTCGCTGAAGCCTGCGCAACCCTCCGGAGCCCGGCGCAAAGCCGTGCCGGCCTCCGGAGGGTCGCACAGAGCTGCCTGCCCTCCCGGGGTCTGCGCAGCTCTGCGCAGGCTGTTCTGGGGGCTGGGGTCGGGGGACGCTCAGGCTCCCCCCGCGCCAGCCCTGTGCCTGGGGGGGAAATAATTTTTTTTCTTTATTTCCCCCCCCCCCAAAAAACCTAGGTGCGTCCTATAGGGCGGTGCGTCCTATGGGGCGAAAAATACGGTAAATAGACATCTGAATTGTGAGGGGAGGAAGCAGCTTGGGAGAGGCAATTGCAAGCAGAAAAATGGTGTCCTGGGAGGGGGGGGTCTGTTTTTGCTCAAAACTGCAGTCCCTTGAGGTAATTTCTTAATTTTTGCCATAATGAACATCTTTCTGTCCCTGTTGTATGTGCTTGGCTGTTGCCAGTGCAGGTGGAGCAATGTGTAGCGCAATGTCACACCACCGTCTCATTAATGTACTAGATGTTAATGTGAGGGTACATGGAGTGGCTGCTTTTGACAGCCCAATCTCTATAACATCTAGTATGACTCTTCTCTTCGTGCCCACATTTTAAGAAAATGGAAGTACCTGTTCTCGTCTTTGTCACTGGGTTCCAAGATGCATGCGCCAGTAGCCTCCAAGAACAGAAGTTTTAATAAAGCCACTTCCATAGCTGAATATTTAAGTGTTTTTAGGACACTCCAGTGCCATCTTAACTGGGAAACAGAAACATTTTCTTAGTTTGGTGCGGGAGCTGAAACCTTCTTTAAAAAGACAAGAGAAAAGGTGGGGAGGGAATGTAAATTAAACCATAAATGAGCAGTATTAAGGGTTTTGTTTTCAACTAACAGGATTTAAGTGGGAATTGGAGACAACTTTCATAACATGGATTAAAAGTCTTTCATTATTAATGGTCACAAGCCATCCATAATTGAAGACTTCGTATCTGTATTTATTCAGGTTTTGTGAGCCCCAAAATACCTATTTAAAGCTTCAAATTTTATGACAAAGCTTGATCCACTCTGGCCAACGTGGCAAAGTAGAAACCATTTGTTCCATCAGTGTTTGCTTGAAGGGTGAGTTTTCGAAAGCCACATCTATCTTCAGCCTCATTACCTCTGAATATTCATCAACAAAATAATAAACAAATACTCCTCTAACGAAACTAACCTCAAACAATTATTTTCTCAATTACATTTTATTAGTCCCATTTCTGTAAAGTAGAACAAGATTTTCACCTTGCAGAAGGAAGACACCACTATGGCCTACAGAATTTCACAAAGGGCGGCAAATATGTTCCAGCAGCCTTAAGGGTTTTCAACGCAAAACCCGTTTTCCAACTCCTGTACGCAGCAAATGTCTGGCATAATGGGGACCTGCCAAAGCTAGATGGCTTTCAGGAAAAATTTCTATGATCTCTGCTGCAGGTACCCAACTGCGTCCCCAACTCCGTACTTCTGTTCGAAGCTGGTGAATGCCCAATTTCAACTAAAGCGTGGTGGGCTGCCCAGTACCAAACTACCGAAGGCTTTCACCAAAGCCAGACTAAATGTCTTTCCTTCTGCAGTGTTGGATGGCAGGTTGAGAAGAGTTACCTACCAGGACAGAATTGTGTATTGTTTTGTAATGATTTGTTGGGTCTCTGAACCGTAATAAAGATTGATGAGAATGAATTTCCTTATTGACAACCTTTTCTTATGTTACTTTGGGAGGTCCATGCAGCACAACATTCTCTACTCTGCCTGGCCTGAGCTCTCCAAGATCTCTGGCATAGGTCTGTCTGAGCTCTGCTTCCTGAAATCTTTTAAATGGAGATGCCAAAGATGGAAAGTAGATCCTTTTCATGAGGAGGTTGGGGTATGAACCTCAGGTCCCAGAGCTGCACTCAAAGCACACAGTTCAAAGATGGAGCTAACTCTTTATTAGCAAAAGCATGATCTCCACTGACTCAATTGAATGTCAGGCCTAATGAACAGAGCAGCTCATTCCCAGTGGTCTTCCTCCATGAAAATCAGTTGCCGAGACTGAAAATCAGTCCCCGCCTCCTCAAGGCTTTCCCCAAGCAATCACAGACTGTGCCTGCATACAGCCAACCCTTTTCATGCCTCTTCTGGTTCTGGGAGACCAGGGGGGAGAGGAGCTTGTCACAGCAGGAGGGGAAGACACCTGTGACTCTTCACCAGCCGGACTCCTCTCTGCCTCTTGGCCTCCCTCCTCCCTTGCCTCTGACACTGGACTTTCCTCTGCCACAGACTCTCCCTGCTCACTAACCCCTGCTACCTCCTCAGCTTCCGACACCTCCTCTTCCTGGTCTTCTCCCTCTGACCATTCACAGTTGTCCCACCACCACTCCCTGGGCTCTGAGCCTTCTTCCCTTGGGGGTTCCCCAGCTGGTTCCTCCTGCCATTCCTCTGCGTTCAACTAGTCCATAACATCAGTGCTCCAGACCTCTTTATCTGGCCCTTGGGATACACCCCTTCTTTCCAGGTTGCACCCCTTAATTGCCCTGCTTCCAATTTCCTTGTGTGTCTGGCTGGAATGTGTCCTTGTACTGTGAAAATGTCTCTTGCTTGCCTGGTGAGAGGATGGAGATTGGCGTGTGAGAGGCTTGTGTTGTCTGTGGCTGGAATGTAGCCAGCTGTACGAAGGTAAGAGACACAGTCATCGTTTTGCCTAGTTTGGCCTCTGTGTCCCTCCCCTCAAACCTGGTATGCGGTCCCCAGAACGTTCGCCATAAGGAAGGGTGGCCCTTCAGTTGAAACAGGTCCCCCAGTTCAAAAAAGCATAATTTAGAGTAGTTACATTTTAAAATAGATTTTATTCATGCAAGTTCACTATCACTGTCAATAGTGGTTGGCATCTGCCTGTTGCAAGAGACAATGGAGTGCGCCTCCAGGGGTTAAGTCAATCTGCTGTGTTAGCAGCACCAAAGTGCCCTTCCTGGGGTGCAAGCCTGGGCAGTGTGTGTATTGAGGTCCTGGGCTGCCTAGATGACAGGACCCTTCTCTTGGCCTCACTGATGTGGTCCAAAGGAAGGCAGAGCAGTGAGTTTGGCACCAGTTCAGCTGCAGGAGTTACAGGAAGGAAGCATACAAGGTGCCATCCAACCATCTTAGATACTCCACTCCAGATTTGTGTAGGGTTTATTCCTTAGCCCTTTCTTCTCCCAAAAACAGGGGAGCTGACTTGGGCCCCAGATTATGGGTCCCCATGCATGTGACATCATGACATCATGTTGTGACGTGATGTCATGACGTCATGCGTGCGCCCCAGCCTTGGAACCTGACTTCCAGTGGGACCACCGGAAGTCAGGCTCCGAGGTCTCACAAGGCCTCGGCCAGTAGCTCCAAGGTCTCACAGGCCTTGGATGTGACTTCCGGTGCTTTCTGAAGCACAGGAAGTCTGTTGGGGCCCCTGTGATGTGGATGCTGAGCACTCACAACAAAAATGTTGTGGGTGCTCAGGCACCCAGGGCACCCTATAGTTGATACCCTTGCTCATAGATATCCCACAAGGCCCATGGAAATCAAAAGGCCTTCTCTGAGAAGTGAACAACGGATGTCACCCAAAATGTTTTGAGTTTTCTTCATGCATACTTGTCTTTGCTGACTGGTGATGCTGCTGTTTTACCAATTAGTTTTGATTACGCTCATTTCATTTTATTGTTTTATTGATGGCTGCTTAACTCTTAGTGAGTTTTATTGTTATGTTTTTTATTATAGTTGATAGCTGCTTCAAGTACCCCTCTGGGAGAGAAAGGCAGACGAGATACATTTTAATTAATTAATTAATCAGTCAGTCAGTCAGTCAAAGATCACTGGCATACTTTTCAAGTGCATCACATACATTAAGAAAAGTGGCATGGACAAAATGTCTCTGCTAAACTTATTTAGCTTGTTTACCTTAAGACAGAATTTTTAAGCTGTGTTTGGTTAGACCTACTTGTACGGTTTTGTAAATTTTGTACATTGTTTACTTTTATTACTTTGCTCCCCACTCTGTGATTGAAAAAGATTCACCAAAGTGTTGGCTATAATTCTGCAAATAAATAAATAATAGACAAACAAATTCATCTTATGTGGTAATTGAGAATGGATAAACTCTCTCTGCAGCAATCTTTCCAAGCTCTGGTCAGTCTCCCCTAGTCTTCAAGATTTTCCCTGTTATTGTCTATATATGTTCAAGTTGTGGGACAGAACATCCCTGGGAACAACACCTTTTTCTTTTGTTAAAAGGAAGGAGGGGAAGAGAAACACTCAGCCACCTCATATTTAAAGGCAAGTCACAAATTTTCATATAATTCACCCATCGCCCAAAGGTTGCCAGATATCTCCCCTTTTTGTGGGGGACAAATGGCTCTGCAAGAGTAGAAGGATGGTATTGGCCCAACTTGTCATGTCCCCCAAGATAACCTGCTGTCTTCAGGTAGGGTGGAGAATGTTGTCCTTTTGCCTGTGTTGAAATGAGATTCAGCCATCAGTACAGTTGGCTTCTAGAATTGGACTGTGACACAATAGACAATATGGCAGCCTCCTCTCTTCACATTCCAAAGCTAATCCAGAAGGGCAGCTGAATCTTACTTCAACACTGGCTATGGAAGAGCTTCCTCCTCTGCGCAAGAAGACTGGCCAGGGGGCTGCTGCCACTGCCCCACTCCCAGCATTCGCAACTTGAGGCGGCCGTCTCTCTCTCACAAATGGTAGGGCTGGTCCTGTCAGCTTTTTTACATGGAACTGCATGGAGATCTGTTAACATGACAAAAGGGGTTGTTGATAGGCCATCCAAGAGGAATCCTTTGGCCTGGGGAGACAGATGGGACTGTGTGTTTGAGGTGACAGGAAAAGAGAGTTTTTGAGCAAGGGGTGCTGGGAAGAAGGAAGAAGAAGAAAGACTGGGATCCATCTTGAGAAGGCTGGCTGGGAGAGATGCCTTGGACTCCAAGGCTGTGGGAGACAAGTCTCTCTTGAAATGACCAGGCTATAAGATCTGGACGGGTAATATTTAGCTGACTAGTTTGTAAGAAGGTAGCTTCATCTGGTTTGTTGATCCATTTTAACAGGGGCTGCAATCTGTAGCCAGTTTTAAATTTACAGATTAATCTGCTCAAGCTTCCGCTAATTAGCAAGGACAGATTTTAATCAGCAGAGGCACAAGTTGTGTGCACTTGTTTAGAGTCTGAGAATGTTTTTGTTTTGGGTGTCATGGGGATGACAAAAACAATTGAAGAAGGGCATTTTTATTTTAAATAAGCTGAAGCTTCTGTGAAAGCTGTAAGCAACCTCAACAGCTTTGTCATGTTCTGGTCCAGTACCAGAACCCACGGGGGAAGTGGTGAGGGTGGTTGAAGGTTACCGGACCGTGGGGAGCTCTGAGTGAGCAACTTGCTCCAGGAAAGGTTAGGAGCAGGCTGAGGTCTTTTATGCCTCTGTCTCCAGACCACCTTTTTCGTGCTCCATCCCCTTGGTGCAACATTGGAGACTTACAGGGCCAACCCTCTGCCCTGAAGATGGACACTCCTTCATCCCCGGTGTGCTTCTGGTCTGGTTCTCCACACTCAGGTGTCCATTAGGGTTCTGGCTCTGGCTTTGCAGACCTTGGTGGTTCCTCTGGGAGTTCTGGTCCAACTGCCTCAGGCACACTGGTCTCACTGCCTTCTGCAGCCAGCTCACCCCTGACCCAGACACAGCTCCCCATCTGATGCCCCTGCAGCCTTTGACTCTCTTTCCAGATCATGGCTGGATATCACAAACCTGAAGTCACCTATATTAAGGTTTTGGCAAAAGGCAAATTATTGACTGACCGGTTCAACATTAGATTAGATATCCCATTGTTTTAAAATCAGTTCAACTACATTTATGGTGCTGGAGTTGGGTTTTTTAAAAAACAGTGTGCTCTTAAATTTTTGAGGATTTGGAAAAGTGGAAATGTGATTTATAAGCATTTTTTTAAATACACACACAAACATATAAAGTAAATGAGATTAAATGGTGCATCATGGAAAGTGTTGCTGCTCTGCAGAAAACCTGCAAGTAATATGTAAAGAGAGAGCATGTTGCATATTGCTAGGGTCTAGCAAAGTCACTAGCCTGCTTCTAGAGACCACAGGGAAATGTGAGAAACCCACAGCCAATGTGAAAGAGCTCTCTTAATCTCTTTTTGCACATGCATCAAGTAACCCCATGCTATATGTAAATGTCGTATATCTTTAGTAAACAGACCAGCTACATATACCACAGTATGTATTTTAATGGCATTTTTCTAAAGGTCAGACAATGCAAAGGAAAGTGGATGGGGGGGAGGGGAGGTGAAAGAAAGAGGCCCATAGCTCCAGCGTGATATAGCAGTCTTTTCAAAGGTACATATTCCCAGGGCTTTTCATGTCATTTGATTAAAGGACAGCGTTCTGCCTATTGGAGTGGGAAAAATAAAGTCCTGCAAATGGGCTTATTTTGCCTTTCGATCAGTTTGGTATGCTCTCTCTCTCTTTCTCCCTCTCTCTCCCCGCCCCCCATTCCCCAATACTATTTTCCATCCTATACCACCAATACTGGGGACACTATATTCTGTTTATGCTAAACCTCACACATGTGGAAACAAATCCACAAATTGGTTCTGCCAAATCCACATGGGACTCCTTTGTTGAGTATAGATGGCATCTTGCCCTCTGTGCATAAAAGAAGTGTGTGTGTGTGTGTGTGTGTGTGTGTGTGTATTTATGCACCCTTCTACAAGTATATCTCTACCATGCATTGAAGAGGATGCCAGATCAGGGCAAATGCCAAAACATTTTTAAAGACTTTTCCAGAACCAAGAAAAACTACATACGTACGTAAGTAAGTAAATGTTATGGCTCTCAGAAATGCATCTAAACCACTCTGAGACCTGCGGGTATAGAGCGGTATATAAATTCAATAAATAAATGAATAAATGAAAGAATAAATGAAAAAAAATTCAACGTATCAGATCAGATATGACATCAGATAATAGATTCTGCGTGCAGTTCCATGTTTTGATTAATAAATAAAACAACACATCCTAAAGATTTGGGCTACATCTAAAGTGGAGCCTCTGCTATAATTTGAAGATGCCTTTAAGTGGAGAAATGTTATTATATTATTATTTGTTTGTTTATGCCCCCAACTTTTCCTCAAGATAGCATACACATAAAAACAAGAACCGCTAAAAACAGAGCAAACAATTAAACATTACCAGAATTGAAACTATATACATATATAAAAGCTATTAAAACCATATGAATTATTATAATGAAAACAGCACAGCACCAGCCGTTTCATTAAAAGCAGTCAGATCCCCAAAGCCTCTTGGAACAAGAAAATCTTCCACAGGAAGGAGCCTGTCTATCCTCTCTAGGGAGGGAGTTCCAAAGCCTGGGAGCAGTCACCGAGAAGGCCCTCTCCCATGTCCCAAACACTTTTCTTTTTCGTTTGCACAGTTAAAACATCCTGGGTGCAATCCTGGAAAAAACATGAAATACATGAAAAAGCCATCAGTATCCATGTATCTTTGTTAGAGTTCTCTGGATGCTTCACCCAGTGTAATCTGTTAGCAGAGGACCAATAATATAGTCTATGTATATGCATTTCATGTATGTGATCTTTGTTAATTAAATAGCAGCTACAGAGGGTGTGATCAGGATTAGAACAATGTTCACATGGCAGGGTAGAGTTTTTAATTTCCTCCTGTGCCACAATCCCAATGAAAATGCCTTCTTTAAGCCCCAGGAGGTCAGCTTTCATTGGTGTCCAAAGCAGGTTCACTCCCGGAAAATAGCAGCAATTTCTGGGTTCCTATTGGCACCGCATCGTAAGACTAACCCCACACCCTCGCTGCACAGTGTGGTCTCGATCCTGGCCCCCAGTATTTGATAACAAAAAGCAGGCATGTTAAGTGTATACTCACATTTAACGTGTTGTCTGGTTTGGCTCACAGCCTTTGCCAGTTACCTAAATTTGGCCTTGGTTGTGAAAGTGGTTTTTATTTTCGTCAAGTGCCATAATTCCTTGACTTGAAGTCAGGAAGACTTTTGGGCCTTGAGTGACGCACTTGGTAGGATCAGTCAAAACCACGAACTATTTAAAAGAGGCAGCATCATAAAGACACACATTTTTCTTTCTTCCTTTTTAACTCAGGTGCTGGTTGGGTCTCTGGAAGTTGCAACTGAACCCCAGTTTTGAAGATTGGCTTTTCTCAGAGTTACAAAAAGCCAGTGTGGCAGGTCTGGCATTTATTTCTTTAAAGCCTTCTGAAAGGGAATATTTTTGGAAGTTTAAGGGATAAGTGTACTTGGTGATGCATGAAGTTGCTGATAATTGCAGTAGCTGTTCATCGTAGCTCTGCCCTTCCCATGACAGCAAAGCACGGATCCTAGGGACGTTTCAAATGCCATATGAGGAGAAAGAAGGAAGTTCTGACAGCTTTATTATGGTTATTGCTGCTTGAGAAACCGCTATCCAGTTAGTAAGCACACTCTGTATTTAGAACATCTGGCTGTTTCTCCTCAGGAAGAACACCACGGACTGGGAGAAATTAGCAACCCTGAAATCAAGAGGGGAAACATGTTGAGAAATGTATACAAGAAGCAAAAATTAAAGTTGGAAGAAAGATGCACGAAAACACAAACCACCTCCCCAGCTTCAAGAGAAAAAGTGTAACAGGATAAATTAAAGACAGGGAGGAAACCCCATTGCCACATGGGGTATTTTCAGTTGATCCAGACATGGGAAGCCTCATGATGCTGAGGGCTGAAAGTGGCCCTTCATGCTTCTCTATCCGGCCCTTAGAATTCTCCCCAGGCCACACCCACTTTCCACAGGCCACACCCATCACTGGACCTGCTTCTCACCCCAAGTATTTTTGCCTGCTGGTATCTGTTCTTGAACTCTGACAATGTGCCTTACACGCCAGGATAGAGGATAGTGTGTGTAGAAATTAGCCTTCTGTATAGAAAGGTAAGGGACGCGGGTGGCGCTGTGGGTTAAACCACAGAGCCTAGGGCTTGCCAATCAGAAGGTCAGCAGTTCGAATCCCCGCGACGGGGTGAGCTCCTGTTGCTCGGTCCCTGCTCCTGCCAACCTAGCAGTTCGAAAGCACGTCAAAGTGCAAGTAGATAAATAGGTACCGCTCTGGCGGGAAGGTAAACAGCGTTTCCGTGCTCTGCTCTGGTTCACCAGAAGCGGCTTAGTTATGCTGGCCACAGGACCCAGAAGCTGTACGCTGGCTCCCTTGGCCAATAAAGCAAGATGAGCGCCGCAACTCCAGAGTCGGCCACGACTGGACCTAACGGTCAGGGGCCCCTCTACCTTTACCTTTATAGAAAGGTAACATTTATATTAATCACTCCAGCGACTTTCGCCTTTGGTCTTGCTCGCCTCTGGTATGCAGCTCTCAGAAGATCTCCTAGAAACATTTGGAAGACTGCCACCTTCCCTTCAGACTTTCTCGGGTGTTAAGATTATCAGAGGTGGTTCTCTTGTTCGTTCCACCATGAACGTAGGAGCCCATCTGAGGCAGCCCCCAAATTGTGGAATTCCCTCCACACAGAAGAGCGTCTGACACTTTCATTATCCTCATTATTTCTCCTAAGATCCCAGGATGAGTTACAACAACAGAAGTAATGCAGATTAAAACCGGATAAAACCAAACCATATAGAGAACAAAAAGAGATTATCAACAGTCTTTTTGAAGCAATTTTGAGAGGAAGGCAGGCAGCTGACGTTAATGAAAAACTGAACAAACCACCAAGTCAGAAGATGCTGAAGGTGAGCCTCTTTACCCTGGCCTCTGGCACCAGAGAGAGAGAGAGAGAGATTTTTAAGACCCACCCTATTCTTGTGGTTGTAATTTGCTTGGAACTGATTTTAATACTGTATTTTTAGATTGCTATAACCCGCCCTGGCACCTTACAGGGAAGGGTGATGAGAAATCGAAACAACAAACACATAAGAAAAGTACTTCCCACCCCAGTTCAATCTAGTCCAGGCTTCCTCAACCTCGACCCTCCAGATGTTTTTGGCCTACAACTCCCATGATCCCTAGCTAGCAGGACCAGTGGTCAGGGATGATGGGAACTGTAGTCTCAAAAACAGTTGGAGGGCCGAGGTTAAGGAAGCCTGATCTAGTCAGACTACTTCACGGTATTTAACTTTTGTCTGAGCTGTGAGGCCTTTGCCATCCTCCACCTGCTGGCATCCTTGGTTGGTTGGTTGGTGTGTGTGCCTGTAATGCCACTTTCTTCCTTGAACAATGAGATTTTAAAATGAATGGTTGCACACATGTTCGGGATACAATTATTTGTTTTATGTTTGACTACCAGTCCAACTCCCTGCGCCTGTTTTCAAGGGGGAGGAGAAATGGCAACATACAGTGTTATGCACTATTTGGAGCATGGAGCCTGACCTGCATCAGATGCACACAAAGGGACAGATGAATCTGTTGCTCTCAGTTTCTCATTGTTTCTATTTTTAAGTTCATTCCTGCATTGGTTTGCAATGCTTTCAAAAAATAACACCTCAAAAGTGTTTATCAGCGTCGGGGTGTGAATATATACATCTGCAGATGTGATTTTGCCTGATATACAAGTTTGCAAGCAATTTCTCCTAATATAGTGCATTCTTGAATATTCTTTTCACTAATATCTACATTTTCATGCACACTTTCCCCTAAAACACTTTCTTTCTTTCTTTCTTTCTTTCTTTCTTTCTTTCTTTCTTTCTTTCCTTCCTTCTTTCTTTCTTTCTTTCTTTCTTTCTTTCTGAACTACATTATGAATGCATAGAAGTGTGAACTTTGAAGGGTAGCTATGTTTTGGTTTGTGTATTTTTTCAGGAAGTGTGAATGAAGGTAAGGTACCCCTGCCCGTACGGGCCAGTCGTGTCCGACTCTAGGGTTGTGCGCTCATCTCGCTCAAGAGGCCGGGAGCCGGCACCGTCCGAAGACACTTCCGGGTCACGTGGCCAGCGTAATGAAGCTGCAGCTGGTGAGCCAGCACCAGCACCGCACACGGAAATGCCGTTTACCTTCCCGCTATAAAGCGGTACCTATTTATCTACTTGCACTTAGGGGTGCTTTCGAACTGCTAGGTGGGCAGGAGCTGGGACCGAACGACGAGAGCTCACCCCGCCGTGGGGATTCGAACCGCCGACCTTGCGATCAGCAAGTCCTAGGCACTGAGGTTTTACCCACAGCGCCACCCGCGTTGTGAATGAAGGTAACTCACATTAAAGTATTAACCAAACCTAATTTATCCCACATCCCTATGCAGAAGTCAGCTTCTGCTTATGGGTATTAATAATAATAATAATAAGAAGAAGAATAATGCAGTGGTACCTCAGTTTATGAACTTAATCCATTCCGGAAGTCCGTTCTTAAACCAAAACCGTTCTTAAACCGAGGCACACTTTCCCTGATGAGGCCTCCCACCGCCGGTGCCCTTCCACCGTTCGGATTCCATTCTTAGACCAAGGTAAAGTTCTCAAACCAAGACACTATTTCCGGTTTTGCGGCGTTTGTAAACAAAATCATTCTTAAACTGGACTGTTCTTAAATCGAGGTACCACTGTAATAATGCAGGTTACAACAATTTAAAATTTACAACAACTTTAAAAACAGGTTAAAACTTACAATTATAAAAACTGCAAAAAATATAGCTTGTTGGTCTGGAGCACTTCTTACTGTTTGAAGAAGCTTGCTTCATGAGGTAAATATGGGAAGCAGATTCTGAGGGGTCTTTGCACAAACCCTGAAAGTGGTGGTTATGCACCATTATGCAGTCCCTAATGCTCTGCTACTAAGAAAACTTTTCTGCAATATAACACCAATTCTTTTTTTAAAAGGAAATTTCATATTTAGCTTCTTTCACTCTCTTTTAGCAAAGCTTTGAAGCAGAACCTTTCTCCCAGAGGTAGATTATCTGAATGCTCATTTACTGAGACCGCAATGCCCATTATTACAGGACATGCAAATGTTTCATACAGTGTATGAAGAAAAATTATTCCAAATGATTATTGATGGGTTAATCAAGAAAACCATGTCAACTTCTTTTGTCCATTAATGTGGACGGTATTTCACAATCATCATAATAAAAGCCAAATGTTAATGGTTCAGGTAATCAGATCCTAATGAAGAACAGCGATGGATTCTCGCTTTTAAATAGTTTACAATTTTCATAATCACTGAAGTGGTCAGTTGGTCCCACGATTCTTCATATTTCATACTGCATCTTTTCCAACCTGTTCTTTAGTTTAACTTTTTCCTCTTGTTTTCTTTTCAGAAGGGGAAAAAAAGTTAAGGAAGCAGAAGGCAGGATATGAACACCTTTGAAATGAAAAAATCATCAAGCAATAGTGATGGTGGCCAATAATTCAACATGTCACACACATCAAAGAAATTACAAAATATCATGTTGCAAATCGGCTAGTAGCTGCAGATATACTGCAGGCCTCTTTCCCCTTCTTTATATATGGTTATTTATACCTATGAGAAATCCCAGCATTTGGATTGTCCATGATCTTAATTTACTTAACATAATCTAACAAAAACTACCATAGAGGTTTCAAAATTTTCAAAAGTAGGGGGTCCATGGCATGGCTTTTGAAGAACAGGGGGTCTGCAGTACTTAACTAATTGGGAATCATTGACTTAGAGGTTTCCTAACCATCAAGCAATATAAAAAGCATTGCTAAATAAATAAATAAAACATCAGGACTGCCTTGCCTTGTGTCCCTAGATGGATTTGCCCCTTACATATATTGCAATCAATTTGTAGGCCCTAGCATAAAGTCACCCAGTGAACAATATTTCTTTCATTGTTAAGGACACAAATGTAGAATATACACACATATTAAAAACACACACAGTGAAAATGCGTTTTAAAAAAAGTTTTGAAAAATACATTGAATTTTGCATAGCTCACTGCCACCATCTAGTGTTACATTTGTATATTGCAATTTAACAACACATTTAAAACATTCTATTTGCAGCTGTAGAGCTGAGTCCAAAGACTCCCTTCCCTGCCTCACATTCTCAAAACTGTCGTTCTGACTGACCACATGCCTATCTCTAACAGGCCTAGGCTTATTTGCCAGCTAAGTTTTCCTTTAAGAAGGAATGTATCCTAAGGGACTGCATACAAAATCTAATACCACAGAGGTGTGGGAACATAACAATAGTGGCAGCTAAACTGGTCAGTTATAAAGGCTCTCCAACTCAAATCAACTGATGGTTTCCTTTGCTCAGATGCTGGATATTCCCTTGCCCTCTAACTGTGTTAGACTCTGTTGCGTCCAGAGAAGTACTGTTTTTCTGTTGATGAATCCTAGGATAAATTAATGAGCCCACTCGAGAACTTGGGCCGTTTACTTTATATGCTCATAAAAGGTGTTGTTAAAAAGCAAGTAGAGAGCTGCCCGAAATAAAAACGGATGAGAGTAACTAAAATATTGATAAATAAATTCCATTAAAACACAGTAGGTTTAAATGGTATGGACAGCAAAGGGCAAGTTATAGCTGAGAAAGTTCCCACAGGACCAAGTCTAAAAATCACAAGGTTATGCAGACTGCTCACATCAAGGAGCACTGTCCTCTGTTTTTCCATAAAATAAATATTTCCTTACATAATTGCCAAATCATTTGGACGTTCTTACTCCCTCGTCAGGTTTTAAAGAGCAATCAAAGTGTCCATTTCCTGCGTACCAATATTTAACATTTATTAAGAGCCAACTAGTCACTTTAGGTTGAACTTCACAAAATAGAAGGTACCACTTTAGAGGATAGATGGAATATCTGTTGTCCTCCAGATGTTGTTGGGCAATGGAACCTGTGATCCCTGACCACTGGGCATGCTGGCTGGGACCGGGGTTCCATTCTGGGCCATCACACACGCCACTAGGATGGGTGTAAATGGGGATACCTCTATTCTGACCCTGCTCATTTTTGGCACCATTTTTGGTGCACATGTAAGCAGGAACATGCGTGCTGATCACGCACAAGTGGGGATTCCCCCGTTTCATTTTTCCCCTAGTGCTCGCTGTGGCGTTTGCCCTCCTAGGTGGGTCATAAGGAAAGGGTTAAATGAGTGTGATGTGATTGGCCAGTGGGAACCCAAGGGGAGGAGTTAGAGTTAGAGTTGGAGTTGTTGGGAAGTCAGTTGGGAGTTGGAGAAGGAAGAGGGAGGATAAGTCTGTGGGTTGGTCTAGTTTTGATGTGAGAGAATGAGAGAAACTGTTAGGAGGAGTCAGATAGACAGTTGGGATAATCAGTTAGAAGGTAAAGGTAAAGGTACCCCTGCCTGTACGGGCCAGTCATGTCCGACTCTAGGGTTGTGCGCCCATCTCACTTAAGAGGCCGGGGGCCAGCGCTGTCCGCAGACACTTCCGGGTCACGTGGCCAGCGTGACGAAGCTGCTCTGGTGAGCCAGCACCAGCGCAGCACACGGAAACGCCATTTACCTTCCCGCTATAAAGCGGTCCCTATTTATCTACTTGCACTTAGGGGTGCTTTCGAACTGCTAGGTGGGCAGGAGCTGGGACCGAAAGACGGGAGCTCACCCCGCCGTGGGGATTCGAACCGCCGACCATACGATCGGCAAGTCCTAGGCACTGAGGTTTTACCCACAGCGCCACCCGCGTCCCTTTAGAAGGTATAGACCGGTTAGAAGGTATAGGCCGGTAAAGAAACTAAGATTAAGAAACTGACAAGAAAAATTAGCTGAAACCATAAACTTGTTAATGCTTATAAAATAAACTTGCTTATTTGATTTAATGTTAACAACTGTCTGGACTCTGTGTGTACCCGAGAGAAACGGGTTGGTGGCAGAGGGGAAGCAATCACAGTGGTGGCACAGGGATCAATAGACCGTCAAATGTCCGGGGACCCTGTGTGATCGCCACACTCGCCAAACCAAGGAATCTTTCCATATTGCTGCCTTTTAAATTTAAGCATGGGACCTGGGTGCAAGAAATTCAGCAAAATAGGGATGGAAACAAAACAAAGGTAGCAGTAAAATGCGAAAAATGTAGGAGCCAAATGAAGCACATTTGGTTACTCTGTCGCCATCTTGCAATATCCCAAATGATTCATTGGCTAAATATAGGAAACTGACTAAATATAGAATATAGTGAAATCAAATTAAACGACAATGAAGCAGACTTATGCAAAAGTTTTAATTTAGTCTAAAAGCAATTTTTGGCCAAGTTGGCATTTGGGTTTCTTGATCATAGGCGAGAGGAATCAGTTTGGAACCATCTGTGTGTTTCAATAAAGCTTCATTCAAGGACACAGGCTCCTTTACAAAAAAAAATACACAGTGAATGCAGGACCTATATGGCTTTAGTTGTGAATTAATGTGCCCAGAATGAAATCTGGTAACTCTCAACCCCCCTGTAAAAAACACCCAGCACAGTATAATTACAGCAGGTTGTTTCTCGCTAGCAAATTGATAAGAAACACTGAAGTGACTTTTTCAACATAATCATAGATATTAGATGTCTGTGAACAAACCATTTGCGCATTTTAAGGACTCTGGAGGCAATTGTAGAAGTCACAAAACGCTGTTCAGTACCAGACCTGGTCCATTCTACAAGTCCATTAGGACACTGGCTTTTGAATTTTTGGAGGATTCTTTAATGAGCAGGTCAGTCATTGTGGACGAGCTTCCCTGAAAGAGAGCTGAGTCACCGATGCCATCGTGCTCCCTGCCATGTGCAGCTACAGAGGAGTGTTGACAGCAGTCCCAGATCCTGCAGGGCAAGAGTAAGTGCTGAGTGATCAATGGTTCTGTGCATAGCTGTCAACTTACAGATTTGAAAATAAGGGACCAGCAGCCTCGGAAATAAGGGATCAGCAGCCAAAATAAGGGATTTTCAGAGCACAGGTATGTTTGACTTCTGAGCCCCTCCTAGCCAAAGGCAGAAAGCCCAGCCAGCAGCCAAACGAAGCCTCAAGCGGTGGTTCCCACAGCGCAGCAACCCGGCAAAGGGGATGCAGCAAGGAAAACTACTGCCACCTCTCCGCTGGGAAGCGCTGAGTAAAGGCGAGTCCCCAGGCAATGCAGCCGATTTGATAAGCACAAGGCATGCAAGCTCCACCCCCCAGTCGTTCTTAGACTCCTTATTTGGTGAGCAACGCAGCCAAGCAACACAGTTGGAGCCTCCCTCCTCCCTGGCCGGCAGGGAAGAAGGGAGAGGAGCTGCTTCCTTTGAAACCTGGGAAATTTAAGGGACATCATCAATAAGGGACAGCAGCGGGACACGGCGCTGGGATAAGGGACTTTCCTGCCAAATAAGGGATGGTTGACAGCTATGGTTCTGTGGCTGACAAAGCGGCCTTCCCTGAAGGTGGAAAGCTTGAAAATTGCATGGAGAACTTCTGAAACAACAATGGGATATTAGCTCCGCCCAAGGCATGATGGAGAATAGCAATGGCTGGGAAAAGATATACATAATATTTTACAAGGACAGGAAGAAACACCACAGACAGAATAACTGACAGACACAGGAGAAATAAGGACATAGTTTGAATGCTTCACCTATAGCTTTATAAATCATTTAATGTGTTCATACGAATGGATGTCATTAATATTGCAGTTGTTGTATAAGGGATAGTTATTTTGACTGGAGTGTAATTGAATAAGATTTTGGAATGTAGAAATAAATAATCAAACCATCAATTCTAGCATGCAGGAGGCCACCTAAATTAAATTATATAATTTGGCTTTTGAATGGTTGGGATTAGAAATTGTATTATAATTTAGCATTGTTGTAATGAGGCTATCATTGGATTGTTGCAATTGAAAACTAATAAAAATTATTGTAAAAAACAAAAACCCCGCCGCTCGGGGTCATGGTGATGACCTGTTTAATTGTAATTCATAGAATCAGAGTTGGAAGGGACTCCGAGGGTCATCTAGTCCAACCCCCTGCAATGCAGGAAACTCAATTAAAGCATCCATGACAGATGGCCATCCAACCTCTGCTTAAAAACCTCCAAGGAAGGAGAGTCCACCACCTCTTGTGGGAGTCTGCTCCACTGCTGAACAGCTCTTACTGTCAGAAAGTTTTTCCGAATGTTTAGTCGGAATCTCCTTTCTTGCAGCTTGAAGACATTGGTTCGAGTCCTACCCTCCAGAGAAAATAAACATGCTTCCTCCTCCATGTGACAGTCCTTTAGATATTTGAAGATGGCAATCACATCTCCTCTCAGTCTCCTCTTTTCCAGGCTAAACATACCCAGCTCCTTCAAGCGCTCCTCGTAAGGCTTAGTTTCCAGACCCTTGGTCATTTTGGTTGTCTTGGCACAGCACACCTCCCTGGGATGAGCTGTGAGACAAAAGGCTGCCTTGGGGGCAGGGGCAGGCCACAACCCACATTACAGCACTTGATGTGCAGTGTGTGTGTGACAGGCTGAGAGCCAGCTCTGTCTCTGCAAGGCCAGGAACCTCCCTTGGACCCCTTGCAACTTAAGCTCATCGCCCTGGTTAAGATGCCCCTTTGGGGAGTGTGGCTGGGAGACCCCCGTCTCCTTCTGGACCGCCTGCAAACCACATTGCCATTCCCTGCAAGCAGACTGTTGCCATGGCCAGGCTGGGGGCCTGATTCCTGCCCATTCCCCGCTTGTGGGATGCTTTCCTCAGGGAAGCTTGTCTGGTGTCATCTTTAGACTCTGGGCAACAACTTTCCTGTATAACCAGGCCTTGGGCTTCTAACTATCTGTGTCCTTTCAGAAGCTGGTGGGTTGTTTTTCTGTATTCCCTCCATCCTGCTTTTAATGTACCTACGTGGGGTTTTGTTTGCTTGTTTTTAAGTCACTTTAGGTTGCCTTGGCCAAGATAATCCAACAAAAAATAGTAATACATAAATATATAACATATATAAATGAAATCTCTTGCTTAGTGCCTTTTGCTGCATTCCAGAGGCCCTGGGCTCCAAGGCAGACTGCTTCCCCGGTGTGCCTCTGGAAGTAGCCAGCTGCCCTCCATTCCTAGCCAGACAGCCTTGCCACCCTTGCCCAGGGTGACCCCCTACGAGATGGCCGGGTGCAGAGTAGAGCCAAAGCCACCTCTGTGTCTGGCTAGGGGCCGCCTCTCACTCCTCCCCTTGAGGGTCCTGCATTGCTGCCCGCAGTTGGGTGGCCCAGGTCTGCACCTGAATGGGGAGTGGCATCTGAGCCGGGCAGAGAGCGCAGAGGCTGGATGGGAGAGGAAAGGGGAAAGTGCTCCAGAAGGACAATGAGAAGCGGAAGCAGGGGCAGGAAGTGTGCACAGCTCAGAGAAAGGGGGGTAGGGGGTCCCCTGCTCAGTTTTAATTGTTATTGCTAATATGTAATTGTTTTAATATATGCAATTTAATAATTCAATATATGCAGCTCTCTTTTGATAAGCACAGGACGATCTTTCAAAGATGAGATGGGTGGCAGAGAAGCTAGCTGGAGAAAGCATTACAAATGGAGGAACAATGTTTGGGAATCGTGGAGATGGCACCTAAGAGGAGATCCAAGGAAGTAAAGGGATGCTGGGAGGATAGACAGCTCCTCCAGCCTACTAACTAAATTGGCACAGAGATGGTGGAGGAAAAAGCCATTTTGTGCTCCCCAAGTATCCATTGGCGAGGACATTTTAACTGCACAAAAAGGCTGTAATCTATTATTCACACCAATTCATCGATTGACGCTTGCAGCCCTAGCTGCAAATGATAGGTCCCTCTCCTCTGCTGGATCTCTGCTGGAGCAGCTATAATATCTGAAATTATCCCCCCTGAGAACCTGTGTGAAAAATCCTCTTTGTATTATTATTAATTGTGGTGGTGGTTGCTCCCACAAAAGGAGCTCAGTGTGGCTTACGTACTGTTGGAGGTCATCTGTCCATATTTTAAAAGCTTCAGAGACTTCCACTGAAATCAATAGCACTTGGATGTGCCCGACTCTGGCTGCATTGTGCTCGGTGTCCCTCATCCGTCAGGACTGGCATGTTACTTCAGCATTTTCTCCCTACCAGGCTAGAGCAGCTCCCAAGGCATCTGAATGTCTTGAGCTTGCCGTTTTAAGGACTGCTGAGGTTGTGAATTGCAAATACCCCAAGTCGCCGTCGAAATGCCAAGGCATGGGAACAGTTGGCCTGTGATGGGTCAGTACAGTCTTGATGACAGCAAACAGTCCTAGGGCCCAGCAGGACCCCTCCAGCTACTGCTGCATCCCCCTCCCACAGACATCTCCTGATTGTGCGTCCTCTTTTGATAGCACCAAAGTCTTCTGTCCCATTGAAAGAAGAGTCCCACTTAAATAAGAAGAGTCTCTAAAAGCATTTAAAAAAACAACAACAACATTTATTTTGAAGCAGATTCAAAGTCAGGCAAGAGGCATTTATTCCCCCAACGATTCCTTTGTATTTGTATGCCCCATTATGTCAAAATAGTAGTCAAAATGCAAGGACATTATCTTTTTTCTCCCCTTTAATTAGATTGATATCCTCCCTCAATGGAAGCTTCCATACGTTCAAACTTTACCATGAAATCCTCAGGAGCAAATCCCATAACGACAAAACGTTTTAAGCATCAAGAAGTACAAAACTGACCGCAAGGGGGCAAGATATAGGAAGGGTGGCAAGAGCTCTTAAGTAAATGCTTCTTGATAGGTTCCAAAGCAAACCCAGTTAGTTCCTCTTTCTGAAGTAAAGGTCAGGCTGGGGCTGAGGTGGACGTCCTTAGGGAAAGAGTTCTGAAGAACTTGGACCACAATGAAGACGGGCCCTGCAGTGTCCTTCCCTTGCTGACACGGATGACAGTATGTTAATGAAGAAAACTCTTTGAACCAAACGAGATACTATCTCAGCAACAGGAAGGTCCCAGCCACACATTTGCTTCAATAGCATGGGGTATGTGGGCAAAGTGCTCTTACAGGGGAGGGTCAACGGGCAGAAGGGGGTTTCCCTCCCAAGCATTATCTCCTTAACAGGACATCCACACTAAGCAAGTGTTTCTCCTCAGCTGGGATCATTTCCAGGTTTGGAACGTAATTGTGGGAGTGGAACCTTTTTTATGTACAGTCGTACCTCAGCTCCAGAACGCCTTGGGTGTTGAACGTTTTGGCTCCTGAACGACTGAAAACCGGAAGCGAGTGTGTTCCGGTTTTTGAACCTTCTTTCAGAAGCCGAATGTCCAACAGGGCGTCTGTGGCTTCTGAATGGCTGCAGGAGCCGATCAGAAGCCACGCTTTGGAAGTCAAACGTTTCAGAAGTCGAATGGACTTCCAGAACGGATTCTGTTCAACTTCTGAGATACGACTGTATATAAAAACTGAGCATTTGTGCATGAGCTTGCAGAAGAGAATCAGTGGCCAAGGAATTTTCCCCTGCAATTGACTCCCTACCCCACCATGAGTGAAACATGGGCTTGGTAGCACCATGTTCCCTTTATAGCATGGGGCACCCTTGATCCTGTGCACGTTTCATCAGAAGAATGTCTCGCTGAGTTCTCTCTCTCAAGAAAACATCCATAGGATTGCAGCCTTAGTTAAGCTGGGGAGAAGAAACAAGCCTCGCAGTCTTCAGAAGAACAGCAAACAAAGCCTCAGCAGTGAGCCCATTATGACTCTGACTAATCAAGAGAGAAACCACCTGCAGGAATAGCCTCTTTTCTGTTTCCTCCCAACAGGAGCGTCCGAATGATGATTAATCACCGAATAAACTGAAGAACTGACAAGAAAATAATGCCCAAGAGAAAGCAGAGATGGGGACAGAGCAACAGGCGCCATGTGGTCCTCGCCCGGGTGGGTGGAGCAGCCAGAGAAGATGGATGGCCCTCAAAATGCATGACACTTGAGTATCTTAAATGGGAAGGTAAAGCTACTCACACCGTCAAGGAAATAACACCCATTCAGGTTGACACACTTCAATTGTCCAAAACTTTTTCTTTTCTTTTTTCTTTTTTTTGGAAAAAGAATCTAATAGAGGGGCAGCTTGGAAAGAAAATCTGCTAATGAGAGTTTTTAATTGGACTTCTATGCCTGATCATAACTGAAATAAGAGATACTGTAAATGACAGCTTAATCCATTATCGCAAAAGGCACCGCAAAGGCTTTGTTGATTATATTCGCAGATTAGCCTAACTATGTCCCTACTAATTTGAGAAGCAATGAATCATGGGGTTCAAACGGGGCTCAGATGAGTCAATTATTCTAAACAGCGATATCAAAAGCTCATATTTTCTACACCAAGGAATCAAGCAAGTTATGTTCAACAATGAGCCAAAATGAGCTTTATTGCACATCCTCAATTGACCAAGTCATTAGCAACACGGAAGAAGCTTTTGCTAATTTTTCAGTATGTTCAGTATCTTCTTGCCCCCATGGAATCCCTTCTGGCAAGGATTTATTAACTTGAAAAACATCTGAAGGAAAACAAGCTTACTGCTGTCGGCTGGAAACCGGTCTATGGTTACTTGTTGCTGAGTTACTGCAAGTATTTTTTTATTTTGTCACTTTGAAAGAAAGAAGGAAACTCTGACACAACTAAGCACATTTCCTTATAATTCTCCAACATTTGGAATTGGGGCATATGCACAATGCATTAATCTTTACTTTTTCTCGTGGGTGGGTGGGTGTTCACTTCCCAAACTATCACTTAGGTTACTGACAGTTTAGGGTGTGTGAAAGATTTGGCTTTACAACTCAGCCCTAACCAAGTTTATGCAGAAGCATGTCTCACTAAGTTCAATGGTCTGAGGACTCCCCAAAGGTATTGGATTGGACACAGGATGCCACACCAATTTCAGATTTAGGGCTGCACAGTGATTTTGAGAAGATCCACAAAATTGAGAAGATCCACAAAATTCAGAAGATCCACAACAGAGAAGATTCATTTGGGGTTGTCAAATTTTGGCCATGCACAAGGCGCCATACTACAAGGCTGCACCAGATGGACCCTTGGGTTACTCCCCATAAAAATCCATTAGTCCTGCTGAGGAATTGCTTTTCTATAATTGGAGGAATTAAAAAAACCAGAGGTTCCGCACATCACTTAATATAGTGCTATAGTATAGCACAGCGCCCTTTCCCATGGTCCAGGTTCTCCTGTAATGTTAAAATACAAGTAAGCCCTACTCAGCAAAGGTCCTTTCCAATGGCAATTAAAGGCTTCCTGTTTACTTATTATTTTAATTGATCAAATTTGTATACCGCTCTTCATTCAAAGATCACAGGGCGCTTCAAAACATATGCAGCCTGTTGTCTGGATTCTCTATAAAAAGAGAGGGAAGAAAGCATGGCAATCACAGAAAAAAGGGCAAATGTGGAAATAACATTGGTTTGATCTAGTAGGGCTCTTTGTCTGTTCTTAATGGGACTTGCTTCCTAGTAAGCATGCCTGGGGCAATGCAGCCACAAACTGCATGGCAATTGCTTTTTGGAGGTCCATGATCTATGACAAGCACATGGGTACCCAGAAAGGTGCCATAATGTGCTGGTCCATTTATAGTAAAGGTAAAGGGACCCCTGACCATTAGGTCCAGTCGTGACCGACTCTGGGGTTGCGGCGCTCATCTTGTTTTATTGGCTGAGGGAGCCGGCGTACAGCTTCTGGGTCATGTGGCCAGTATGACTGAGCCGCTTCTGGTGAACCAGAGTGGCACATGGAAACGCCGTTTACCTTCCCGCCGGAGTGGTACCTATTTATCTACTTGCACTTTGACGTGCTTTCGAACTGCTAAGTTTGCAGGAGCAGGGACCGAGCAACGGGAGTTCACCCCATCGCGGGGATTCGAACCGCCGACCTTCTAATCGGCAAGTCCTAGGCTCTGTGGTTTAACCCACAGTGCCACCCGCGTCCCATTTATAGGCAGTATTAAAAATCATACTAATATTATTATTAGCATGCCTCACTATGCCTAATGGAATGGCCAGCTTTATCATCCATTTCCTTTCACCATAAGCTTGCACACACTTGTTTGGCTGATATTAGGGATCAAATGAAAGACTTGCAGAAGCAGCTCTCTAGTTTTCCTTTCACACCGTCTTTTGGTGACAAGGAAAAAGGAGAAACTTGTTTTCTTCTTAGCAGCACCTCTAGGTGATTCCAAAATAAATATAATGAAATGGTGAAAACTGATGCATTATTATCAGTGCTTTTTTCTAAAAAAAAAATGTTTAGGGGTACTCTCATTTTCCAACTCATATTGAAATACTGCCCCTCAATGAGGCCAAACAAAATGTTTAGGGGTATGCGTCCCCTCCGTGTCCCGTCCCCCCAGAAAAAAGCACTGATATTCTTATTCCACCCTTCACCCCAAGGTCCCAGGGCAGGTCACTCCAACAAAAGCCAACACTACAACACAATATTAAAAAGTTTAAAACAGCTTACAGAAATAAGGTGGGTGGTAAAAATGCAGTGATACCTTGGGTTAAGTACTTAATTCGTTCCGGAGGTCTGTACTTAACCTGAAACTGTTCTTAACCTGAAGCACCACTTTAGCTAATGGGGCCTCCTGCTGCCGCCGCGCTGCCGGAGCCCGATTTCTGTTCTTATCCTGAAGTAAAGTTCTTAACCTGAAGCACTATTTCTGGGTTAGCGGAGTGTGTAACTTGAAGCGTATGTAACCTGAAGCGTATGTAACCCGAGGTACCACTGTATACACATCAAAGGTCAAAAGCGAAGCTAAAGGGGGAAGCTTACACACACATAAACAATGCCTTGCCTATGGAACACTGCTGCTTTATGATGTAACATTGCTTCGGACTCATTGTTGGCAGGACTGGGAAGATGGCAGCCTCCCTGGCCAGTGGAGGGCCAGTTTTTTCTCCCACAATGCCTCTGGATAGCATTGTTCCATGTAAGGCATTGTGGAGTAATTTAGAAGCCTAGAGGACCCTACATGCTGTTTGTGAGGGCTGGTAACAAGAGAGAAGTGGGAGGCCAGCAAATTCATCCGCATGTTTCTTCTACGTGGCAGCTTTGCTGACTTTGAAGCCTGTGAATTTCCTCAGGACTGAGAAGTCAGGAGAATGATCACCTGTGACTTACTAACTTTCAGACAAAAACGATAACTTCTGTTCCTCTAAAGTACTATCCTATGCATATCTACCCAGAAGCAGGCACCATTAAGTTCAATAGGATTTATTCCCAGCTAAATTATAGGAGTCAAGTCTTAATGGGTGTCCTATTCTTTCAGCTCCCTTGCTAGTTCTTTTTAATAGGATTTGCAAACTGATTCGGAGCACTTCACATATGTGAGCAAGCTACTTCTCTCTCTCTCTCTCCCCACAGATCTCTCTCAGTACAGGACAATGGAAAGAGAACTGGACTGTGCACAAATATGTGGGATTTCCACGATGTTGGAAATAGCTGGAGGCTATCTACACGTATGTCGCTTGGTTCATATGGAGGTTTTCCCATGTAATTCTGTACCCAGAAGGTGTTAAATGGAACAGAAGTGGGGAAATCACACCACTTCTAACATGTGAGCACAGTTCATCCATTTGATTGACTGAAATACAGTACTAACCAATCTGTCCTTACTTATGTATTCGGACCATTGTTACTAAATAGATGGTTAAGATGGCAAGGTCTTTTTGCATTACCAATAAGCTATTTTGTTTTAAAAACAGGGAAGAGCTGTAGTGGTTCTTTCAGTAGACCCTTCGTTTCTTCTACATCCTTTTCTCAAGACCCCAATGGAAACCAATATTCTAAAAAGAAAAGGAATAGTGGCATCAGTCTGGAAAGGCATGGATAGAGCCTTCCCACTCCAAATAATGAAGATCATCTTGTGCTTTGTTCTTTTTCTTTTTAAAAAGAAATCTATGGGTTGGAGATTGATGCCTTTTGGGATAATGCACTGAGCAACCACCATTGCAAAAAAATAAAAATAAATAACAGCTCCTTTTTAGCCCAATCCCTGCATGTGGCAGGATATTGGTGGAAATCAGCAAACTGTGGTGTTAATGTTCAACCAGGTACAGCGCTGGCTGCAAATCACTCAGGAAAGGAGAAAGATCGGCTTGACATTTCCAGCACTCCGGCCTTTTTAGCTATGCATGTAAGCTCCTTGTAAGCTGCCATGTCTAATTAGCCACTGAGGCATTCTGTCTTCATTGGATGCCTCGGCTGCGATTAGGGAAAGTGGATGAGGGCCCTGCTGCAGATTGTGACAATGCACCGGTTGATGCTGCTACATGATGTCCTGCAGATGAAGTCCAGACACTTTCGACTAATCATCAACTTTTCCAGTCCTATTAACAGCAATTATTTGGGGGGGGGAGTGGATTGTGGGAGCTGGGAAACAGCATATTTTAACACCGCCTTTCATCTGCCATCCCAAGGCAGAGCACACAAAAATAAGCAAAGGAAGCAATTTAAAGCAATACAGATAAGTAAACATCCCCGAAACAATAAAACCCCGCAGTGATTTGGAGCAAATTTAAAACATAATAGCAGATAGATAGATAGATAGATAGATAGATAGACAGATAATATTTTTTAAAAGGTTTGGGTTGTGTGAGAAATAGCTTGGCATCTAAAGCCTTAAAACAAACATAGATGCCACCACCAGAAAAATCCTAAGAAAACATATGGCAATCGGATTTAAACACAACTCTTACTGTTGCCTAAAATTTCAGATTGAATTTTTCACACCATCACTATAGTTGCTCCCTTTGTTGTGTTCCTAGGGATTTGCTAGGTTGGCCCATGCCAAGGGTGCAGACCCAGGGGGTGTGCAAAAATTTCGCCTTTCCACTCTGGCTGAGAGTGGCTAGGAGCCCACCTGCCCACTCCATAGGCTGCTCCCCCCCTGCTCTGGGCAGTTGGGTGAGGAGCTCAGACTTCTCTGGGTACTTCGGTGAAGGAATCCAGTTGCTGGTATGAGCTGTTGCAGCTGCCCTGCAGGGCCCCCTCCCCAGTCAGCCAGCAGCACTATTAGAAGTGTGAGTGGAGTGCCCAGTGAGGCTCAGACAGAAGAAAGACTTTGGGAAATGATATATAATGAGATGAAAAAAATGTTTTCAAAAACATTTCCCCCAAAACCAGAGGTATTCCTTTTGGGAATGGTACAGATGAAAGTACTCAGGATATATGTATTTATGTATGCCACTAAAGCAGCTCAGATCTTGTTGGCCCAAAAATGGCAGGTGAGTGAGGTCCCTAATAAGGAGGAATGGCAATTAAAAATGATAGAATATGCAGAGTCAGCAGGTCTAACAAGTAAAAAAAGAGAGCAAGAAGATCGAGTATACAAAGAGGAATGGAATTTTTGTGTGGAGTATATGGAAAAATAACTGTAAACATGTGAAAATATTAGCAGGATTAAGGTAGATTCAACAGTATAATATATAATAAAGGAAAAATAAGGGGAGAAAGTAAACCAAATGGATATATAAGAATATGCAGGGATGGTGGGAAAATCAAAGGAACCAGGTAAGGGGAAGAAGGGAAATTGTTGAATGTTTTGTTATAAAGAAAGATATTAACGGTGGAAAGGTATATTTGAACGTGAATGTGATTTTGGAAATGGTAATTATATATATATATATCTATATCTATCTATCTATCTATATATATATCTATATCAGATAGAAGAAAGACTGAGAGAGCGGGCAAAAGTTGTGGGAGAAGGAAAAAGGGAGGGAGGGAGGAAGATGGAAGAAGGGAAAGCAACGAGCGGAGGCAGGGCAGAAGGCAGGGAAGCAGGCGAACCGATGGAGTGGGAGGGGGGGAGGCGGAGCGGACTCAACATCAATGACCGTGGAGGAAGTCATTGGTGGAGCGCAAAAGGCACTGAAAAGCAAACATGAGCTTCTGGTCCATGATCTCTCCTGGCTTCTGAGATGCTGGTACAGCTCCTTGACAAAGGTGCAAGGGAGGACCAATCCAATACAGCTCAGCAGTGGCAGATTCAGGTACTATGGCGCTTTGCTCAAGGCCAAAAGTTGGCACCCCCACACCTTAGGTAAGGAGGCAGGTGGCTTTAGGAAGGAGATGTGAGGCTCTAACAGGGTCCTAGAGCCCTCTCACCTCCTTCCCCTAACTGAAAAAGCTCTAACTAGGTTTTGGGAAGTAGGCAGGAGGACTCTAGGGCCCTGTGGGCACCTTATGCCTCCTTCCCCAAGACCAGTGCTTTGCTTACTGGGCTTTGAGAAGGTACCCCTTCATCTCATCTCCCAGTGCATCTAATTCTCCAGAGCTCTAAATCTGTCCCTGCACAAGGGAACCTAGGCAGGCCTCTGTGTCCAGCACCTGAGTTTTTGGTGTGACTTTTCTTGCTGGTTTGGGGGCCACAGATACAGAGGAGAACAGTGATGGTTACTGAGTTGCAAAGAGGGGGTACTTGGAGAGAAAGTGAATGGGTACAAGGGAGAAGAATTGGGTTGTAGGTAGAGGATGGAGAATGAGGTCCAGAACTAGGGGACAAGGAGCCAGACTCTGATCAAAATGGCTCCATCTTGGCAATGAAAAGAAGAGCTACCCTCCTTGCCACTTGTGTAGGGAAATCATTGAAGAACACGCCTGAGCTGCAGATCAACAGTGGTAATGGTGAGGTAGTCATCATTTTAAAAAACAATGTCACAAAAGCTATTCCAATGCTGTCAGTCCTAAGACTAATTAGTTTCCATCAAAGCAACAGATTATCTGTTCATGTTGTCCACCAGGTCATTACAATGAGCAACCAATACAGACAAATGGTATCTAATCTCTTCTGCTCTTCCTTGGGACTGATGGATGGTTATAACATCGCCAATATTATAAGGCAGAAAAATTATGCTGACATTTAGAAGCCAAAGCTCCGAAAGATAAAACTAAGTACAAAGCACGTCCAGAACCATAAAAAACGGAGCGAGGGAAAGAAATAGCTCACGACAAATAGAACCGAGAAGTGAGCGGCAATTAAGCAAAAGGAGAATTATATAAGGGAAAGGCTATACCTTGTGGGTGGCAGGCAGCTCAATTAATTATATCACAACAGGGGAAATCTAGGCATTTCCATGAAACATTATTAAAAGGCATATTGACTTAGCTTTCTTTACATGTTATGCCTTCAAAAACGACAAAAGGATTTCCTCGGTATTGATTTTGTTTCTGGACTCGGTCGACTTAAGAGGCACACGGTCGCACACAATGAGAGATAGCTGTGTAGTAAATGAGATGGAGAAACGAGGAACTGCAGTTGCTTATGGGTCGTATTGACCAGCGTTGATGCATCATAGCCTCCTTCCATTTAGCTTTTGTTCATCTTGCCTGTCGAGATAATGTTAAGGCACAACTAAGGTTGCTCTATATTAGAATGCCCAAGCTTATATTTTAGCTGCCGCTCTGACAAACGTTTGGAAAAGATCTATGTCTTCCTGCCTCTTTTGCAGCATACCAAGGATATAGTGGGCTTTTAGGTCTGGCTGACATAAGCCTGCAACTCTGCCACTTTTATGGAAAATTCTGGCTTTCTATGCTCATTGCTAGGGGTACCCAACGTGGTGCCCTCCAGCTGCAGTTGGACTCCCAACTTCCATCAGCCGCAGACATTGTGGTCAACAGACAGCAACATCTGGAGGGCACAGTGTTGGCTATTGCTGCTCAACATGTTATTATTATTATTCCATTCAAAAACTGATAACTATCTGCAAGCTCTCAGCACAGTGTACAAGAGATAGATACATAAGAATATCTATATATAAACAAAATAAATACAATAAAGTACAATAAAAACTTGTTTCAATTTGCATAAAAACAAAATACATAATAACCATACACATAAACACAATATACAAAAATATATAAATAAATAAATAGTGTAGTGCAATGCAGTAGTGCAAACCTGCAGTCCAACAGTATCAAGGGATAAATGACATAGGAGCTCTGCATGTTGAATGAAAGTGCTTTCGGTTTCTGCAAACACTGAAGTCAGTGGCTAGCCTGTGCTTAAGTCCATGCTTAAGTTTCTTTGCTCTTTCTCAAATAAGAGTGGCATCTGAAGTGGTGTACAAAACCCCCTGGGTACCCCATTGCTTGGGCACAGGACCCAGACAGGACCCCCCTCCCTGGGTTAGCGCCTAGAACAGGAAAACACACTAGAAATCCATTCTTTCCCTCAAAGAATTCTGGGCACTGTAGCTTATCTTTCATGGAGCTTTGATTCCCAGCAAACCTTAACAAAACTACAGTGTCCAGAATTCTTCAAGGAAAGGAGTGTGCTTTGAGTGTACTTCAAATAAATGTGCTTTAAAGGTACAGCCTCAGTGGTTCCCCTGAAGACCTCGCTGATCAAGCAGGGGTATAAGAAATCGGGCAACCCTTCAGGTGTCCTGGACCCAGGTTGTTCACACCCTTGAACTTGGCTTGATAGCATATAGGCAGCCAGCTGTGGCACTCTTTTATGCCTCAGAGAAAGAGACGGCGCATGAACGAATGTGCTTGGTCTGGATTCTGAACTTGCTCCAGAATGCTCAATAGTCAAGTAAACCAGAGCCTCGCTTTAGTATGGGAGTGCAGCAGGATTAGCAAATCTTTGCTCAAAAATTATTATCAGTGTTTCATCCTGCACAGGGTGTGATGTCAGCTGACGGTTAACACATTCATCTTGCCCATAGGAGACATCCATGGTAGAGCTATACTACAAACTTGTGTCCATTTTATAACAGTTCAGCTGCCTTGATGATTTCCCCCCACTAGAAGGCAAGAGGTGTGGTGAGTTCTTCTTTTAGATATCCCTAACTCCCCTCCGGGGGTCCATGGGCAGAGGGAAGGTCAGATGAATGTAGCTATGAATGTAGCTTTGCCTTCAGAGTTTCATAAAGCTGCCTGCCCTACTTCAAGACCCGAAAACTCTCTCCAAAATTATAAAGCAATGTTAGA